GGGATGGAGCGGGAGGTCCCCGGGGCACCGGGCGGGCACCGGGCGGGCACCGGGCGCGGGCGGCCGCTCCATCCGCGGGGGATGCCGGTGCCGGTGCCGCCGGTGCCGCCGCCGGTGCCCGCTGACCGCCGCGCTCCCCCCGCAGTGCGACTTCTCGGAGGAGCAGACCGCGGGTGAGTGACCGGCACCGGGCACCGGATACCGGGAACGGAGAGCGGAGCCCCCCAGCTCGGGGCACGGCCCAGGGACCCCCCCGGCCCGGCCCCGCCGCTCCCGGTGCCGCCGCCCTCGGTGCTTCCTGCGCGGCCTCGGGCGCGGCCTCTCCCGGGGCAAAGTCCGGCCCGGGCGGCGCCGTTCGTACCGGGGATGGGGGATGCGGGACCGGGACACGAACCAGGACAGGGAGCGGGGCAGGGGCCGGGACCGGGATTGGAACCGGGACCGGCACTGGAACGGGGACCGGGGGGGTTCGGGCCCCTCCTGCGCAATTTGCCCTTATATGGGCATGGCGCGCGCCCGCCGCGCATTCCTGCGGGGCGGGGCCGGCGGATTCCGGAGCGCTCCCGGTGCCCCGGCACCCAGCGGGCTCCTCCCGGTGCCCCGGCACCCAGCGGGCTCATCCGGGATCCATCGGGCACCGGCAGCATCCCCGAGGGCGGGGACCCCGCCTGCATCCCGGCCCGGCCGGCGTCGGGTTCCACCGGGAAACCGGATCCTACCAGGAACCGGATCGCACCGGGAAACCGGATCCCACCGGGAAACCGGAGGGATCCATCGGGCACCGGCAGCATCCCCGAGGGCGGGGACCCCGCCTGCATCCCGGCCCGGCCGGCGTCGGGTTCCACCGGGAAACCGGATCCTACCAGGAACCGGATCGCACCGGGAAACCGGATCCCACCGGGAAACCGGATCGCACCGGGGAGCGAAACCCGAGCGGCGGCCGGAGAGGGGGGGTCTGGAGGGCTGCGGGGTCCCGGGGATGCGGCTCGGGGGTCCCCGAGGTGTTGGGTACCGGGGGTGGTCCCGGTGTGTCGGGGGTCCCGGTGGAACAAACCGGAGGTCCCGGTGCCTTGGGGGTCCCGGTGATGTTGTCATAGGGGG